TCACATGAATAAGATCTTGCATTAGGACGTGAGAATTGATCGACATTTATCGTATATAAAACAAATTATACAAACACATACGCGCCAAAAAAAAAAATGAAAAAAAAAAACAGAGGTGAAATTTCAGAAATTAATACCTTGGTTCATAAGTAGGCATGCGACTAGATTGGGGCATTTCTCGTTGCAGTGCAATATTACTCTCATCGTTATCACTTTGATCACTCTGAAGAAGCCCTATTGCTGCTTCATGAACAACTTGAAGCAAACTTGGGATTTGAAATATGCACTGTATTATTCCTTTGCTTATCAACTTCGACTCTTGCTCGTACAACAACCTGGTTCCACACATTTTGACTTCCACATCTGGGGTAGTGGGCTTAAAGATGACACTTAGACCTTCATAGTTATTCAACTCTTCTGAGAAATACTTGCGGGGGACATGAATTGTAACAAAGCGACTATGTACAGGTATTTTGATCTTATGACACAATATAGGTGACATACTTTTCCCATGGGCGTACAGATCAATGTTAAGATCAACTATTTCTGAAGTCGAATCACCAACTGTGCGAGATCGACGTAATTCACATTTGACATATAATTCCAGACCCAACCATCTCTCATCTTCGTATATATTAGGAGGAAGGTAGCACACTGCTACGTTCCCCACGCTGTGGTGGAAGAACCATGGTGAAAGTATTGGGAAAGGCAATAACAAATAGAAACAGTTGTGACGTGCAAAGCTTCCCTATCGATATTGCAAAAAGCATTGAGTTAGTATTGGAAGGATATCTCAAAGAGGGAGAGAAAGATGGATATCGAGACGACTGACCTGAAAGACTACTGAAAGCAATGAGTATGTTTCGTTTATGAAATTTTTATACTCAATTGAAGGTACACTATCCCAGACGGTGTGATCTTGTTCGGCTTCATTTTGAGGCACTCCCGAACTACTTTCTCCTTCATGCTTGACTGCTGTGATGTTGCCAGAGGCTGCCAATTCATTTGCACCCTCTAATAATTTCTGGCAATGTCGATCAAAATTCATTTCAAGATCCAAGTGGTCATTAGCATTTTGAGCTAGTTTGTCACTGAAGCCTTCCACTTCATGATTAAATACTTGATGCATTCCAAACATTCGTAATTCCACATCTAATCTATCCCTTGAAAATGAAGCTTCAATAACTCTACTCGATGTGCTTAACTGCTCTCCAAACCATTCCACTGGCACATAGCTACAGACCCCAAACGAACCAAGTCTGAAGTGTTTAAAGTTTGCAAAGTCTAGGGTCTTCTCAAGTGGACGCTTATTGATGTAAAAGTGACAGAAGATTTTTTTTAATTCCAACTCTCCATCAAAGTTACCATGCTCAAGTTCCTTCATAACAAAAACAACAAAAAGGGCAAAACCCATCGTTATACGGCCTGTATCCTCACGATCTTCTGAAGATAGTTCAATTTTTATGGGAGACATTGTATTCCAGTTCGTGCACCAAAGAGGAATAGTGGTACAAGGAAAACGGATTTCAAATTGTTTCCCGTCATTAACTAGTCCCTGTAAACACAAACAATAAAGTGAAAAAAATTAGGAAAGTATTTGATGTGTGTACAAGGAATAAAATGTGTGTGTGTGTGTGTGTGTGTGTGTACTGAGAGAGAGAGAGAGATCAAACCTTGAAGAATTTAGGAAGGAGTAAATCAACATGTTCGGTGGGCATTGGTAGCGGAGTCCCAATTGTAGAGTCTTCATCAACACTCGATGAATTTCGGCAATCTATGAACTGGAATCCCTTATTTGAAGTCAATATTGTCATCTCAGTTTTTGAGCAATCGGTTAGCATCGGACAATCTCGTGCATTCACATATCTCAAATTGACCGGAAAGTGTTTTGGCAATGACTCAAGCATGCTACACTTGGACAAGTAAAGATTTTTGAGCTCAGAAAGTTGAGAGATGCTCTCAGGTATGCTGCTAAAGTTGTTTTCAATGAGATTGAGATACTGCAGCAACGATAAGCGACCGATATCATCCGGCAACTGCACAAGTCCACATCCATGTAAAGATAATACTTTGAGGCATTTCAGAAGCACAATGGACGAAGGCAATTTTCTTGTAGGAGTTCCATCTGCGAAAAGATGCTCCAAATTTTCCAAGCTTCCAAGGTCTTCTGGTAATTGGTCCATAGACACACAGCCCGACAGATTGAGACCTTTCAAAGATGTCAGGCCACTAAGAATTCCGCTTCGAAGACTCAAAAGGTTCCTGCAGTTTGCCATGTTCAACCCTATAAGTCCCGTCAAGAGGTTGATTGAGGTTGGCAACTCCCTTATACCTGTCCCATCTATGTGGAGTATGGACAACTTCCTCATATCTCCTACAATCTCAGGGAACTCCTTAAGGTTTGAACATCCAGAAAGAAAAAAAGTTGAGAGACATTTTAGGCTAATCCTTTGCGGTAGCTCTTCAAGATTTTCACAGCCCTTTAAGTTCAGAAGAGCAAGATGTTTGTGTTCTGCAATTGATGGGTGAAGCTTTGATAGTCTTTTGCAATCTTCAAGCACCAACCTCTCGAGATTTGGGACGAAATCGAAGTCGGGTGTCTCGATCAAGTATTGGCAATTGCTGAGATTGATTAGCATTAATTCTTCCAAGTGCTGTAATTAGTGGAAAAAGAAAACAAAACAAAATGAGTACTTAATTATGAATGGCTCACAATCAAAAGATCTTACGTACCATAGTTTTCTTCCACAGTTGTTCAAGGCGGCTATGAGGCATGCTGAGCTCAACAAGCCTGTCCAATTGGAAACTTGACATTATTGACTTAAGAGGATATCCATGCCATTCCAATAGTCTTAGCTCTCTTGAAAGATAGTATTCATGGCTTTCTGAAAATTTCACGTTACAAATCTTCAATAATCTTAGAGACTTCATATTTTCAAATGGATCGGAGAGTATTTCTTCATGATCTCTTGGTGAAGTTAGGAATATGCCTTGAACAACTCTTGTACCCTGTGCGAAAATGTATCTGGTAAGCAAAATTTTGTACCATACTGCCATACTATAATTGTTAAGAATTTCGACGGATTCAAGCACACGAATCAACAATTTGCGAGAAATAAGAATCAAACAAATAATCGGAAAAACAAATTCAATGCGGAATTATACGTAAAGCAAGGAAGAAGAATAACGACACACAAGATTTATCCAGGTTCGGACCTCAATGTAAGATCCTAATCCTGCACTATGGTGCTTTCATCTACTATGATCAATAACAAATGATTACAAGAATGATACCAAGAGTATTCTCCAAAGAACCCTTCTCAATTCTCTCTCACTCTCTCACTTGTTATCTCTGGATTACAGCCACCAAGTCCAACCCTTTCTCTATGTTTCCTAACCCTTAAATACCCCCCAGAGCCCTTTGTGTAGCCTCCAAGACGTGCCCTAGTCAATTGGTATGTTTCCCAACCAAAAAGGAAATTTCGGCCAAAAACTCGCAGTTTCCGTTTTGCTGATTTTACACCAGCGCCGCGGCGCCACTCATCCAGCGCCGCAGCGCTACTTCATGCAGCCCGCAGCACCAAGGCGCTGCCAAACCAGCTCCAAAGCGCTTATCTCTCTGTCCACGCAAAGTCTAACTTAGAGACAGGCCGCGGCGCTAAAGCGCTGCCAAACCAGCGCCAAAGCGCTCACCTCTCTGTCCGCACAAAGATAAACGTAGAGACATTCCTCACAAATCTCCACCTTGGATCTAAGTTGAATCGGAAACCAAGAAACGTCACATAGTAGACTTCCACCAACTATCTGCTCTAGTTGTCATGTGCCGCAACATTGATCAAATCCAAACAATGTTTGAACTTAATCCCTGTCACGGGCTTCATCACCATATCCGCTGGATTGTCATCCGTATGAATCTTCTCCAACGTCACAGTCCCTCGTGAGATAATATCCCGAATGAAATGAAGCTTGATATCTATGTGCTTTGTCCTATCATAAAACATTTGATTTTTGGTCAAAAGTATGGAACTCTGATTGTCGCAGAAAACCTCCACCTCATCTTGCACAATTCCCAACTCACCAATCAAACCTTTCAACCACATAGCTTCTTTGACACCTTCCGTGGCGGCTATATACTCGGCCTCTGTTGTAGACAATGCAACCACCAGTTGTAGTTGTGCTTTCCAACTCACTGTGCACCCAAATAATGTGAAAATATATCCAGACAAAGACCTCCGTTTGTCCAAGTCTCCTGCAAAATCCGCATCCACATATCCTCTAAGCTTCTCACCATCATTCCTCATCCGCTTGTAGAGCAAACCAACGTTCGAAGCTCCCTGTACCCACTTCACCGCTTCCCAATGCTCCTTACCCGAATTGGACATAAAACGACTCACAAGACTAGCCGAATAAGCTAAATTCAATCTTGTGCAAACCATCGCATACATAAGACTATCAACGGCACTTGCATAAGGGATTTTCTCCACACTTACCTTCTCCTCATCCGTCATTGGAGACATTCGTGTAGATAACTTGAAATGACCCGCCAAAGGTGTTTGAACGGACTTCGACTCCAACATGCCAAACCTTTTTAATACTTTCCAGAGATAACCACATTGAGACACAAACAACGTACCTTGCTTCCGATCCCGAATGATCTCCATCCCCAATATCTTCTTAGCCGGCCCCAAGTCCTTCATTTCAAATTCACTCCCTAATTGCCGCTTGAGCTTTTGGATTTCTCCTTTATCTTTTGATGCTATCAACATATCACCACATACAAAAGTAAGAACACCCCCAAGCCTTCTCTAACCCATTTGACATAAACACAACTATCATAGTTGCTCCACACGAACTTGTTCTTCAACATGAATTCATCAAACTTGAGATACCATTGTCTAGGAGATTGCTTTAAACCGTAGAGAGATTTTCTAAGTAAGCATACCTTTTTCTCATCTCCATTCTTGACAAACCCTTCCGGTTGAGCCATAAGGATTCTTTCCTCAAGATTGCCATGAAGGAATGCAGTCTTCACATCCAGTTGCTCCAGTTCTAAGTCAAACTGATTGACGAGAGCAAGTTCCCATTATAATCCATTCCTTCCCGTTGTGTGAACCCCTTAGCTACCAATCTCACTTTATATCTAGGCTTTTCCAATCCCTCAATGCCCTGTTTTCTCTTAAAACCCCATTTGCAATCAACAATCCTTAGATTATTTGGTTTCTTCACAAGTTCCCATGTCTTGTTCTTGTCAAGTGACTCCATCTCTTCTTGCATGGCTTGCTTCCAACATTCGCTATCCTTGCTTGCAACTGCTTCTCGATAGCTCTTTGGTTCCGAATCATCTATGTCATCTGCAGTAACCAAGGCATAGTATACCAAATCTGCATACCCATAACGAACAGGTGCTTTATGAGATCTCCTCGTTCAATCCCTTGCCAATTGGTAAGAGTCAAGACTATCATCCGGATTACCGCCTTCCTCCTCCACCTGCAAGTGATCCTCCTCATTAGTCACAACTTCATCATCCCGTTCCGTATTACTGCTTCCTAACTGCTCCAACTCAATCTCAGCCCGTTCTTTAGCATAATTATCCATGCCACTTTCGTCAGACCCTCCTTGAGTCATTGTTGCCATATAGTACTCGGTTTCTCTGAAGACTACATCCCGACTAATGAAACTCTTTGACGTATTCCCGTATTTACACCAGAGTTTATAACCTTTAACACCTTCTGGGTATCCCACGAACATACACTTCTTGGCTCTAGGATCAAGTTTTCCCTCCTTTTGGTGTGCATAAGCAGTGCACCCAAATACCTTCAAGTTTTCAAAATTTAGTGGATAATCGGTCCACACTTCTTCCGGTGTTTTGAAATCAATTGCCGCTAAAGGACACCTATTCACAAGGTAGGCCGCCGTGTTAACAACTTCTCCCCAAAACCTCTTAGGTAAACTGGCTTCTATTAACATGCACCTCACTCTTTCTAAAAGTGTTCGATTCATCCTCTCCGCTAGGCCATTCTGTTGTGGGGTTTTCCTGACGGTTTTATGTCTAACCACACATTCATCCTTTAGAAACTGATTGAAACCGTCACCAAGAAATTCCAACCCGTTGTCAGTTCTCAACTTCTTGATCTTCTTCCCGGTTTGAACCTCTATCATTTTCTTCCACTCTTTGAACTTCCCAAAAGCATCGTTTTTGTTTTTCAAAATGTAAACCCAAACCTTCCGAGAACAATCATCTATAAACGTAATGAAGTACCGTCCACCCCTTAAAGTCTCCGTTCGCGACGCGCCCCACAAATCAGAGTGAACATAACTGAGTGTCTCCCTCATAACATACGATGACCTCTTAAACTTCACCCGGGTAGCCTTGCCATAAACGCAATTCTCGCAACTCCATGTCTCCTAGCTTCGCTCCTCCGAATAGCCCTTGCTTCTCCAATTCTTGCAATCCTCTTTCACTAACATGACCCAGTCGCTTGTGCCACAGGCTTGCCAAAGAACTTCCTTTCGATTCTGTCACTGTCGCCGCATCACCAATCACGGTACTTCCTTGAAGTACATATAGACTCTTGTCTCTAACCCCCTTCATCACAACAAGCGACCCTTTTGAAACTTTCAAGACGTTCTTTTCACCTTTCCAGCTAAAACCACGTTCGTCAAGCATCCCTAGTGAAATAAGATTCCTTCAAAAATTGGGAACATGTCTTACATCTGACAAGATTCTCTCCATCCCGTCATGAGTCTTAATCCTAATCGAGCCAATTCCGATCACCTTGCATGGTTTGTTGTTCCCTAATAAGACTTCACCGCCAACAATCTCCTTGTAGCTATCAAACCACTCAAGGTTTGGCGTCATATGGAACGAACAACCCGAATCCATGATCCATTGCTTGTTTCAATGCTTCGTTGTAACAACCAGGACATCCGCACTCTCATAGCCCTCTTCATTTTGGTGTACGACCGCAGCTTCACCATCTTTTCCTTGTGTGTTTACTCCTTTCTTCTTCATTGGACAGTTTTTCTTAATATGCCCCTCCTCATGACAATGAAAGCATTTGATAACCTTATTGCCATCCCGAGACTTAGACCTGCCCTTCTTTTTACCCTTCGACTCCCTCTTGTCTGATCTTCCTCGAACCATTAAACCATCTCCGCTATGCTCATCCAGTTCACTCTTGCGTTTCTGTTCTTTAGACCTCAAAGCACCTACAACATCTTCCAAAGAGATCGTCTCCCTGCCATGTTGTAAAATGTCCACGAAATTCTCATAAGACTTTGGCAAAGAGTGTAGCAAAACCAAAGCCTTATCCTCGTCATCATATTCGACCCCTATGTTCTCCAAGTCCATGATCAACTTGTTGAACTCGTCAATATGTTCCTGAATATTCTTACTCTCTGTCATCTTGAAGGTGAAAAACTTCGCCTTGAGATACAATTGGTTCGAAAGACTCTTCGTCATGTACAAAGATTCAAGCTTCAACCAAACTTCGGCCGCCAACTTCATCTTCACAATCTCTCGCAACACTTTATCACTAAGGCTGAGAATCAAAGTGTTGTATGCCCTTTTGAGCACCTCTTGCTTTTTCTCATCATCCATAGTCGTCGGGAGTTTTCACGCTCCCTCGAGTGCCTTCACGAGACCCATGTTGCCTAGATGCGCCAACATCTTCATCTTCCATAACCCGAAATCATTCGTCTCGTCAAACTTCTCAATATCAAACTTGGAAGTCGAAGCCATCCTAATAAGTCTTTTAATAGAATCCCTTGAACCAATGAACTAGCAAAGAAAATAATAAATCCAAGCACTTTCGGACACGTACCTTTCGTCACATTGAAATAATCCAAGCCCTAAACCTAGCTCTGATACCAATTTGTTAAGAATTCCGACGGATTCAAGCACACGAATCAACGGTTTGTGAGAAATAAGAATCAAACAAATAATCAGAAAAACAAATTCAATGCGGAATTATACGTAAAGCAAGGAAGAAGAATAACGACACACAAGATTTATCCAGGTTCGGACCTCAATATAAGATCCTAATCCTGCAATATCGTGCTTTCGTCTACTATGATCAATAACAAATGATTACAAGAATGATACCAAGAGTATTCTCCAAAGAACCCTTCTCAATTCTCTCTCACTCTCTCACTTGTTATCTCTGGATTACAGCCACCAAGCCCAACCCTTTCTCTATGTTTCCTAACCCTTAAATAACCCCCAAAGCCATTTGTGTAGCCTCCAAGACGTGCCCTAGTCAATTGGTATGTTTCCCAACCAAAAAGGAAATTTCGGCCAAAAACTCACAGTTTCCGTTTTGCTGATTTCGTACCAGCGCCGCGGCGCCACTCATCCAGCGCTGTAGCGCTACTTCATGCAGCCCGCAGCGCCAAGGCACTGCCAAACCAGCGCCAAAGCGCTTATCTCTCTGTCCACGCAAAGACTAACTTAGAGACAGGCCACGGCGCCAAAGCGCTGCCAAACCAGTGCCAAAGCGCTCACCTCTCTGTCCGCGCAAAGATAAACTTAGAGACATTCCTCACAATAATGATGGACAATATCTTTAAAAAAAAAAAAAAAGAGATCAAATGTGCTTGAGAATGGTTAGGAAAGAAATTGACTACATAAAGTACATATTATGTAATTTATTATTTATTAATTACTATTCTTACTCGTACTGGTGGAGGCACATTAACCGCACTCCAAATTTTGGAAATTTGATTCTTATTCCCTTTTTTTTTCTAAAATTTCAATTGAATGCTCCCCTACTAATATTTTTCATAGTACTCGTACTGAAAATAATTGCTAGCTTAGCCGCTAAATTTGGACTCCTTATTCACTTAAAAAAATTAAATTTAGACTCATTATACATTCAATACTTTTTTTGTTTTTTTGTTTTTTTTTTGGTTTCTATGGTAGAGAAATTAACTATAGTACTTTTCTTTACTTTTATTTATTTGATATTGTCATATTGTTACAAACGAGAAGTAAACTATATTGTTCTTTTCTCGAGCAAAAAAAAAAAAAAAAAATCCTATATTGTTCTTTACATTGGCATTTTAATCTTTATATTGTCTTTTAAATTTCATCGTCAATACGTACGTAGTTACTTTATTTCATAAAATACATAAAAATGTTCTACTTAATTTCTTTAGTATTTCTCATCACACTATTTTGCAACCTAAAAGAATGCATGTTTCTGTGAAAGCATTCTGGTTCGCTAGCTACGTGAATTTTAAGGCTAATTCTCATCTAATTTGAGAATTGATGATATCCCACCTAATTTTTTTTTTTGGTAAAAAGCATTAATAATGACTTCGAATACCAGTTAATTAATGTGAATGTTCTAATTTTAGGATGATATGCTTTGAATGAAAAAAATAATAAAAAAATAATAATAAGAACTCACAAGCATAATATATCTTAGTAAAGTGGGGTGTAGTACTTTAACTAGAGGTATTTTTAAAGGATGTACATTTTTGCTCCAACATGAAAACTAATTGCGTGCGTTCATGATTAATTAATAATCATATAATAACAAGCAATGTAATAATGTCATACCATATTCTCTTGAAGCACACGAAGGGCATCCCTGTCACGCCACAACCTGCTATGCATCCCTGGATCGCTAATATGGTCTTTACGAACAATTTCCCATCCCATTTGTTGAATTAAATCATGCATCCATACTTTTCCTCCTGTAACAAATATTAGCGATCTAGCAACGAGGACACTTAGACTGCTGTCTGGATGAAAATCGCAACTTTCGAATATCTTTATCAGACGAGATTCGTCCTCTCCTTTGAAGAAACACGCGATATCCAAAAAGGTTTCCTTGGCTTGGTAATTTAGTGCGTCATAACTGAATTGAAGCACTTTAGTAATGCCCTCATGAGGAGTTTCCCGTAAACGTTTTAGTTCTCCTTTCCATTCTTTTTCACTTTTGTGAAGCCGTAAATAATTGCCTAAAACCTCAAGAGCCAAAGGAAGACCATCAGCGTAATTTACGAATTCCTTCGATAGTTCTTCATAAAAACGGCGAGGATAGTGTTTCCCTTCGAATGCTTTCGCGCAAAACAACTGAAGACCTTCCTTATCATTTAATTTCTCGACCTCATACACATCTCTAACACCAGAATCCTTCAACAAGTTCTCATCCCTCGTTGTTATGAGGATTTTGCTTCCTGAGCCAACCTGCCCAACCAGAGCCTCTATTTGTGTTGCATTATCGACATCATCTAGAACGATAAGCACCTTCATAGAAGCTTTGTTGTTCAATAATTTTTCGTCAAGTTCTTTTCTTAAACGAGTCAAACCATCTTCCGTTTCACATTCTTCCCTGACTCTATAAACAAAGTGACTAGCTTGAAACTCGCCGCGGATTCTTTTGAAAACTTCTTCAGCGAAAGTTGTCTTACCAATCCCTCCCGTTCCCCAAATCCCGACCTTGTGAACTTCTCCTGATCTGCAATTCAAGAAAGGCTCGAAATTTCGAATACGAGAATCCATTCCAACTATGTCCTTGGGGTGCAACTTTTCCAAAATCTTTCTAATGATATCCCGAATGGCATCCGGATACTGTTTCCTGTAAATATATCAACTCAAATGTTTTCCAATAAGCCCAGCAGCCATAATGAAAAAAACACATACATGTAACTTTTTTTGTCTTTGTTTCTACATTATATATAGTACTACACTGAAAGTCAATAGATTTACTATTTCGATATAGGGAAATGAAAATCGAGAAATTGATAATTCTCATTTCTTACTTTCTCAGAATACAAGAGAGCTATATATATAGCTTGTGAACAACCAAGGAAGAAAAACAGAAAAACTAAAAATTAACTATTCAGTTATAACTAATAAAATGACAGCTCGGCTAAAACTAATTACATGTAATATTTAATTTAACAAACTTAATACTCCCCCTCAAGATGGACTATGAATATCTTTGATGGCCATCTTACATAAGAAAGAACGAAGCAACGAAGAAGGCAAAGCCTTAGTAAAAGGGTCAGCAAGTTGGTGCTGAGAACGGATCGGCATGAGTCTGACGTGACCTTTAGTAACCATATCACGAACAAAATGACAATTCACCTCAATGTGTTTAGTCCTCTCATGAAAAATAAGATTGGAAGCAATATGAATTGCTGTCAGATTATCACAAAACAGAATTGTTGGAGAAGACAAACCTTGGTGGAAATCAGTTAAAAGCTAGCGGAGCCAAACCAACTCACTCACAGTGGATGCCAATGCCCTGTACTCGGCTTCAGCCGAAGAACGTGAAACCGTTGTTTGCTTCTTGGATTTCCAAGAGACCAAAGAATCACCAACAAATACATAAAAACCAGTGACCGACTTCCTTGAGTCTGGACAAGAACTCCAATCTGCATCAGAAAAAGCTTTCAGCTGAATAGATGAAGAGGCAGAATAAAAAAGGCCATGCCCTGGACTAGCATTGATGTAGCGAAGCAAATGATGAACTGCATGCAAATGGGACTCCCGTGGCTTGGCTAAGAATTGACTCAACTTGTGGACTGCGAATGTAATGTCAGGACGAGTAATAGTGAGGTGTAACAATCTGCCAATCAATCTTCGATATTGTGAGGGGTCTGGCAAAAGAATACCCTCATCGGCACACAATTGAAGCTTGGCATTCATCGGCTCAACAGTTGGTTTGCAGGCAAGATAGCCAGAATCTTCAAGCAATTGTAGAGCATAGTGTCTTCGAGAAATAATTATACCATCCACAGACCGAGCTATCTCAAGGCCAAGGAAAAACTTCAAATGTCCCAAATCCTTAAGCTTGAATTGATTATGAAGAAACTGTTTCAGCTGATCCTATTATTGATTATGAAGAAACTGTTTCAGCTGATCAATAATAGGAAGGTTTGGTCCAGTGATGATAATATCATCCACATAAACCAATAAGGCAAGAAAAGAATCACCACTTCCCATAGTAAAAAGAGAATAATCAGACTTGCTTTGAACAAAGCCAAATTTGACGAGAGCACATGCAAGGTTAGAGTTCCACTGCCGTGAAGCTTGTTTAAGACCATATATAGACCTATTAAGCTTGCAAACAAATCTGCCATCACTGGAAATATGCTCCCCCTGAGGTGTATACCCAAGAGGAAGATCCATGTAAACCTCTTCAAATAAGTCACCATTGAGAAAAGCATTATTAACATCCATTTGGAACAAGTGCCATTTCCGAATTGAAGCTAAGGCCAACAAAACCTTAACAGTGACTAACTTAGCCACAGGAGAGAGTCTCAAAGGAATCAACCCTCCTGTTGAGTAAAGCCTTTTGCCACCAAACGAGCCTTAAATATGTCGATGGAACCATCAGCCTTGTGCTTAATTCTATACACCCATTTACAACCAATGGAATGTTTCCCTTTTGGCAAGGGAACGATCTGTCAAGTCTTATTTTCCTCCATAGCCATTAATTCATCCTTCATTGCATCCCTCCATTCAGCATGTTTAACCGCTTGGTGATAGAACTGGGGTTCCACAACAGAAGAAACATTCATAACAAACTTCCTATGAGAAGAGGACAGTTTGCTATAGTCAAGAACCTTGGATAAAGGATACAAAATAGTGGCCGAAGAACCAATCAACAAACTGTTGCAATGAAAATCCTGTAGGTAGGAAGGGGGCCGAACAAGTCTATTGGACCTTCGTAAGGATGAACCAGGGATCTCAGGAACAATTGGCAGCTGTGCAACAGCAGGAGAACCAAGAACAGAACCATCAACAGAAACCTCAGGGTGATTATTAACAGAAACACTGGGTAAAACTAAATCAGGAAATGGATCAACAAAGGTTTCAGGGGATCCGATGGAATGAAAAGGAAAAATCTCCTCGTGAAAAACAACATCTCTCGAGATAAAGATCTCCCTGGATTGTAAATCCAGCAATCTATAGCCTTTGACACCAGGCGGGTATCCTAAGAACACGCATGCCCAAGCTCGAGGCTAAAAATTCGTTCTATGAGCCATAAGAGTAGATGCAAAGACCAAACAACCAAAAACCCGAAAGAAAGAGTAATCAACCACATCCGCATACAACAATTCGTAAGGAGTTCTATTAAGTAACAGTGGTGAATTGAGTCCGGTTGATCAAAAAAGTTGCAGTGAGAATACACTCACCCCAAAACCGGATTGGAACTCTGGATTGAAAAAATAAAGCCCTAGCAACATTTAATAGATGTTGATGCTTCCTTTCAACAACTGAATTCTATTGAGGAGTGTCTACACAAGAAAACTGATGTAAAATTCCAAGCTTGTCAAATAACTCAGTAAATGCCAATTCCCGAGCAGTGTCTGTCCTAAATCTCTTGATTTTAGCATTAAACTGAGTTTGAACCATATTGCAAAACTTAGGAACTATAAAAATGACATTAGATTTTTGTCTAAGGAGATAAACCCATGTGAAACGAGTACAATCATCAACTAGGGTTAAAAAATATCTATAGCCAGCGTGAGAAGGAACGTGATAAGCACCCCAAATGTCACAATGCACTAAATCAAAAGAGAAGCAGACAAATGGTTATGGGAATCAAAAGACAGCCGGCGTTGTTTAGCTAGAGGGCAAATGTAACAAGGACCATGATTATTAAACTTTGAGGCATCAACATTCAATAGTTTCTGCAAACATACAAGCCTTTTGAAAGACAAATGGCCAAGTCTATCATGCCAAATCTTGGCAGTGACATTATTCACAAACAAACAAGAATCAAAAGTGGAATCTGTAGAAAACAAACCACATTTAGTAGAATCCAGGATGTATAGACCATCCAGCCTATCACCCCTGCCAATCATCTTCTTGTTGTTGATATCCTGAATCACAAATGAATCAGGCATAAAGATGAAAGAGACCTTTGTATCATTAGTTAGTGCACTTACTGAAATCAAATTGAATCTAAATTGTGGCACAAAGAGCACATCTTTAAGAACAATCTCCGAACTTATCTTCACATCGCCACTCATAGAAACAAGAATACTAGTGTGATTTGGTAACATGACATTAGAATTCTGGATTGGTTTCAAAAACACAAAAAGTTCAGCCTTTGAACATATAAGATGTGAAGCTCCAAATCAACAATCCATTGCTTTGAAAAGGATAAAACTGAGTTCAAAGCAACAGATGAACAAGTACCTGTAACGCAAGTGATGTTGGAAGTCTCTGTTTGCTCATTAGCACTTTAGTGGACTATGCCAACTGATTGGATAGCAAAGCTAGCAATTGATGACATTGATCCGAGCTCAACTGTTGAACCAACTTGCCAAAATTCTGGTCACAACTTGAAACTTGATGCACTGGATTATGTTGCTGCTCACCATAACGTGGCTTTGATTTGAACCCTGGAGGAAAACCGTGTAGCCTGTAACACCTGTCAATAGTATGACCACGAAGATTGCAGTGAGTACACAGCGGTCTCTCCTTCTTGTGAAACTTTGCACCTCCACTACCCTGAGCACCGGGCTTCTCAAACTTGTGTTCAACAGTTTTTGCAGCAAACGCCATAGTACTTGCTGTGTCAGGGCTCACAGAACTCCCAATAGAACGTTGGCGTTCTTCTTGGACAGCAAGAGCAAACACTTTGTTGATGGGAGGCATTTGGTCCATGAGCAATAATTGACCTCTGATCTGAGAATACGACTCATTCAATCCCATGAGAAATGAGATTATGTATTCCATATGATAATGCGTATTAAGTGCACGCACTCTACCACACGTACACTTTCCACAAGAGCAAGAAGGGCGAAAATTACTCAGCTCATCCCAAAGTGTCTTCAACTTCGTAAAATAGACACTAATTGAATTCTGATCTTGCGCTAGATTCACAAGCTCACGACGTCTGGAAGATCCGAGGGCCATTGCTTTGCTGAAACCTATCTTTCAAATCCATCCATATCTCATGTGCCGATTCAGAAAAAATCACACTAGCTGATATTTCCTTAGAAACCGAATTTAAAATCCATGAAATCACTATATTATTGTTTCTAATCCAAGAGTTTAACAGATTAGGGTCATCGCCATTCGGTCTCACTAAAGAACCATCAACAAACCCTAATTTGTTCTTGACAGAAAGACCAATTAACATAGCCCGACTCCATGAAGAATAATTGTCTCCCGTAAGAGCTTGAGAGACGAGAATCAAACCTGGACCATCCGAATGATGCAAGAAATAAGGACTTGAAGGATCATCAATGGCGGATTTGCCGTTATCAGTTCTGGAATTCGCCATCCAAAACAAAGCAATAACCAAATCAAAAATCGAAAATCGAACGGAGAAGACAACGATCGATTGAATAGAAACGACAATCGATTGAGAAGGAAAACAACAATCAATCGATTGAACGGATGATCGAAACGAGAAAAGAAAATTCAGGAAAAACGGAGCGTATTCAGCTCTGATACCATATTACGATATAGGGAAATGAAAATCGAGAAATTGATAATTCTCATTTCTTACTTTCTCAGAATACAAGAGAGCTATATATATAGCTTGTGAACAACCAAGGAAGAAAAACAGAAAAACTAAAAATTAACTATTCAGTTATAACTAATAAAATGACAGCTCAGCTAAAACTAATTACATGTAATATTTAATTTAACAAACTTAATAATTACACAAGTAGTTTATGCATTCATGAGAAAGAAAACATCATATAAAGGAGGGAAAAAATGCAGGAAGTTGAGGTTAACTAAGTCTTAATTTGGTTAAAAAGGAGTGCTTTTCTCATTGATCGTTTGGTAATTTTTCTAGTTAATGAATGAAATTTCTCTTTTAATTATTTTCCAGAATATGGAACCAAAATAAAACATGACAATCTATTATCTTTTTCTTAGACTTTTCACCTTCATACTAAAATAAACAGTCCTTTGTATAAATTCTATAAAAATGGAGGATCGAAATACATGAACAATTTTTTCCATTCAAAATCAACTATATGAACAATTTTTTATTTTTTTATTTTTTTTTGAAGTTGGAATTAGTTTTGTATTACATATCTATTTTATCAGACATATTTTGGATGCTATTTCTAATATTGCTATAAAATTAGATTCTTTACAGTAAAATCTTCAAAGATAGGTACTAATTAACAATAAACAACAACAATTAAGGTCTTTTAATTCGATTTAAAATGTCATATTTTATAAAGTTTTTAAATATAACAAAAAAAATTAGATTAAATATAACAGAAAAAATTAGATATATAATTTTTTAAAAATTTTTAACTGTATAAATTTAAAACTAAAAATTTAAATCGTTGAAATCAACGACATCTAAAAAAAGAAATTGCTTGCTAGGGTTGTGTACCTATAATCGGTCAAATGCCAACCAGATACGCTAGCTATCCGATTTAAAGCTTTCCTCCATCTGTCCACTTTTCCCATTTCATTCTGGAAGTCTTTCTCGTGCTTCTTAAAACCATTTTCTACACTCCCTTTCTGCTTTCTTATGTGCGACGGATCCACATCACAGAAAACTGGAAAGACTATGAGCCCCTTCTCTTCTTTGCTCTCGTCAATTCTGGCGAGCTCGTCCAAACACCAACTCGAATCGGCATAGTTTTCCGAGAAAACAACAATCGCAGACTTGGATTTCCCGATAGCTTCGAAGAGGTCAAGAGAAATGTCTCTTCCCCTCTCAAGCCCATCGTTGTCCATGAAGGTCTCGATTCCATTCTTCACCAAAGCTTCGTATAAATGCGCGGTGAAATTTACGCGAGTATCTTCACCTCTGAAACTCAAAAAGACATCAAATTCTTTCGGCTCAGTTGAAGAAGCTGAAGCTTCGGCCATTGAAAATCAATTCGTCGGCACGATTTTTTTTTCGTTTTTCGTTTTTTTTTTTGCTAATCTGTTTTTGGTTGATAAGTTTCGGCCATTGTGTGTGTGTGTGTATATATGTGTGTGTATCTCCAGAAATCAATTCATCTGACATTCAAATGATATCTTACAAACACATTGTCCTTGGTGAAGCTATTAAATATACATGAGACCAAGAAGGAACAGAGAGAGTAGACAGATCTGGCTCCGTATTTTATTGTGAGCCAGTAATATAAAGCTCTTCATTTCATCGATTTAAATTTTTAATTTAAAATTTTTAGAGTAAAAAATTTTTAAAAAATATTATATTTAATTTTTTTTTATTAAAATAAAAAATTTTTAAAAAAATATTACGTCTAAATTTAAATTAAAAATTTAAATTTATAAAATAAACGAGCTCTAAATATTATAAGGCTGAAAAACAAGAAAAATGAAAGTAAACGACAGATTTTAAAATTGTTTTTAAATCTTTCGTCACCAAACCGTGGATCAATTTTACTATTATGCACCTCCCTCCAAGTCCCTCACTCAAACGCCAATCACGAGCCTCAGAAATTCGATTTCGTAACAACCCAGAAAATTATAAGATGTTAACCCTAGAAGATCCCTCCTCAACTGGCACATTTTTTTTAAGCATTTAATCAACCATTCATTATTGCCAAAACAAAAAGAAAGAAAAAAAAAATCAACAAATCCACCTGACTTTTTTTTTTTTTTGCGTCCATGAAACTTTTCTACTTGCCTTCGTACTGTCCTTGAGAGCCCAGGCTCTTCTTCAGTTCATTAACATTTAATTTTATTTGATTTATTCTTTTTTTTATTTAAGAGCATTAAAAAGATAGATGCGGGAGTTTTTTTTTTTTTTTTCTTTTTTAGCTGATGAATGAGAGATTTCATCTGAAAGAGAAAAGATGAGTACGAAAAGAGAAAAGGCAAGGTAAGCTGAGACGGTGAGAGAAAGAAAGATGAGAGAGAGTGTTAAGGCGTACAGAAGAGAGAAAATAGGGGGTAGAAGAGAGTAAACAGATCTCGCTCCATATTTTATTGTCAGCCAGACTGTAAATAGCACATTGTCCTTGGTGGTGAAGCTATTATAGGGTTGAAAAAGGAAAATTATGAATCTGTTTATTTCGCTGATTTGAGTTTATAATTCGAGTTGATATGTGATTTTATGTGAGAATTTTTTAATGTAGTAAAAAAGTTAGATGTAACTGTTTCTGAGAACTTTTTACTATAACAAAACTCAAATTCTAAACCCAAATCGGTGAAGTGAATGAAGTCTATAATAAATAACATATTTTAAAATTATTTTAATTAAATAATAATTTATGTTGTAATTACATGTAAATAATTTATTTATTATTAGCAATTAAAAATAATTTACGTAGTAAAAAATTTTAAAATTTTTTTACTTATATGAAAAAAATTATTTTATCAATCATAAAAATAAAATTTATATAAAAAATATTTTTACTAATTATAAATGAGTCATTTACGCCGTGAATGATTCATTTACTACGTAAATTATTATTTACTTCAAAGAATTTTAAAATATGTCATTTACTTTTTATAAATTAATTATCACGTAAATTGTTATTTACATCAAGTAATTTTAAAATATGTCATTTACTTCAATTAGTTTATAAATCTGCTATTTACAACATTCTCCTGAAAATCAATTGTTCTTGTTAAAATATTTTTTACAGTTGTATATACTTAAAATATATTAAGATTATACTCCATGACTTTGGGATCACTTTCAATTTGTTCCTGAACTTGAAAACCTCTCATTTGGCTTTATGAGTTTTGTAATAGTCTCACTTAAGTCCCTTCTGTTAGAATTTTTGTTAAAAACTGACCAAAAGAGGAGATAGAGTGGTCACATAGTCTTTCTATTAGAATTTATGTTATAAACTAACCAAAAAAAGGCGATATGATCGCAATTAACGCCTCTTTTTAGGAATGATTTTAACATAAATTAAAAAAAATTAAGTGGGACTAATTCAAAATTTAAAAAGTACATTGAAAATTTTTAAATTTTAAGTGGCAAACTAAGAATGATCTCAAAGAATACTAGTGTGATTTACTCAATATATTCGTTGTCTTCTTCCCTGTGCGTTCTATTCTCAGTTCAGCTTGGTATTATTGTGTTATCGTACGGATCATTGTAAATCACGTTGAGGCAAAAATGGCGTAAAATATTGACTCCTCTACTGTCATCAGCAATAATTTTTAGGATGTGTCTATTGACACTCCCATTCTACCTTTTACACTTACACACACATTCTTAAACCACTCCCTTCCTATTTGTTACACACATCTTAAAATTTTAAAAAAACTCTTGTAATTAAATCACCTAACATTCTACTTTTTATACACACATTATTAAGCCACCTTTCATTTTACTTGTTAGCTCTTAAAATTTTAAAAAATCCGTACACCTAAATCAAATTATTTTTATTTAACAAAATTCAAAACGTTCAATTTTTTATTTTTTGGAAAAGATGTACAACATTTTCCTATAAGAATTATACGTGCTAATCATCGTTAATGATCAATTTTCATGCTCTCCTTTTTTTTAGGAGAAATTGTTCTTTTTTTTTTTTTAAAAGTATGATTTTTGTTCACTTATTGTTTTTTAATTACACGTGCTAATCATCGTTAATGATTTCATGCTCTCGATCAATTTTCATGCTCTCCTTTTTTTTAGGAGAAATTGTTCTTTTTTTTTTTCTAAAAGTATGATTTTTGTTCACTTATTGTTTTTTAAGATCTGCTGTCCTATTTCCTGTCTTGGTGGTTGTTCCACCAATTAAAATTTAACACATCGTGATTTGCTTAAGTATTTTTAGTATTTTATTCTTATTTATATGGTCAGATTCTTAAATTTAGATGACCCGGTAAATAATTAGTGGAGGGACAGCCACTGAGACAGAAAAATAAATGCAGTCGATCTGGACTACTTTTATTATATGAGCAAATAAATTATATAGAACAGTTGAAGGTAGCCACAATTTGTTTATATGGAAAAAAACCTTATAATATAAGATCATAAGAACTAATTTTGCCAAACATTAACAAGTGATTCAAAATGTAAAAATCTCAAAATAAACCGCAATACTTTTATGATATTCTAAAAAAAAATACTATAAACGGTGGGGTGTGTAAAGAGTATTTTTTAATAGCGGGTGCGTAATGAGTAGTTTTGTCAAACATTAATAGAAGGGAGTGTAATGAATATTTTTTTAAAATACTATTGTCTTTAAAAGTAATTTTATTAATGGGTATTTTAGTAATATTAAAAAAAAGTGTGTGAAAAATAGAAAAGAGAGTGTCCCCTAATTTTTAATATGTATCTGAAAACGTGATCGGTTATATAAATACATATATATGTGTGTGTGTGTATAATATATTCTGAATAATTAAATGAGGGGAAAAGTCAACCATCATCAAATTAAAAACTCAAACGCATCTCATGAATATCATGTATTGCTAGCAACAAGACTTTTTCTGACTACACCATGTGAGTAATACACGATTATCGCGGAACAAATAAGTGAAGAGAAAATTATTAATCTGTTAAAATTTGAGCTCCATTTGTGAGGTGGGGCTCAATTACAATAAAAAATTTTAATTGTCCATGGTTTCAAGTTTCAACCATCACCCCTTTGTTTGGGTTTTTATGTCTCCTCGTTTGATTAAAAATATAAAAAGTTTTAAGGAAAATGTGCTTTTTCTTTATTCTATTTCTGTGGCTTTCTTTGTTCTATTGTGGAGCGGTCAAACGTCACTATCACTACTGTATAAAAGAGTAGAAATGCCAAGTATTGTGCGTTTTGGTGTGCTTTTTCTTTATTCTATTTCAGTGGCTTTCTGTTAAGGGTCCGGTCAAGGGTAGATTAGTCTTTTCGCTATGATTATATAGTTTCTCCGTTTCTTTTCTTGTTTCATAAGGGTGGAATCCCATTTGATTAATTCTGTGTTTCTTTCAGTTTCCAAGAAATCGGTTATAACCGATTTAAGTTCCCAAGTTGGGAGGAAGGCTTGGCCGCCTATAAGGGTTTGTAAGAAGGCTGGTTGCATTATGAAATCTTATGGAATCTTGTTATCTTTGATAATTTCTTTGTCGCTTGTATCCATCTTGCGCCTTTTCCTTTCGCCAACATAGCTAGGAACCGGTGAGGCCATGGGCGAAGGGTCCCGGAAGCGGCGGTCGATAACAATTTGGTATCAGAGCCAAACATGGCCGACGACCAGCGTTTTCAGCGCCTTGAACATCAGGTCGCCACTCTTAGCATGGGGCAAGAGAAAATGTTGAAGCAGATGACGGATTTCTTCCAGATGCTGCATGCACGGGAAGATGTGTCAGCGTCTAATCAGAGGGAGGTCCGACCAGGAACTATCGGGGGAAGTTCGATGGCTGGGGTTCAGGCAAAACCGGTGAGATTAGATTTTCCAAGGTACGATGGACAAGACGATCCCACGATATGGTTATGCAGGGTGGAGCAGTACTATGAATTTCAAGGTACGGAGACGACGGAGCAGGTGCGGATAGCTTCCTATCATTTGGAGGGGGACGCCCAGATCTGGATTCAAAGGAAGAAAACACTCAAGGAACAGCTCAGTTGGGAGGAGTTCAAATCGAAACTGATGTTACGTTTTGGTACAGCCCCGTTTGAAGACGGTTTTGGAGAGCTGTGTAAACTCAAACAGACTACAACGGTGAGGGAATATCAGAGCCGTTTTGAGTGACTGTTGGGCAAGGCAGGGGCATTGATAGACAAACAGGAAACCGCATGTTTCCTCAGTAGGCTTAAGGATCATTTGCGGGCCGACGTGCGAGCCCAGAATCCAACTACGCTCTCGTCTGCCATTTCCTTGGCCAGGATTTATGAGGGAAAACAGCATGAAGGGAAGAAATGGGCTAATGATTACAAGCCTAATCCAGTGACCAGATATAGCCCCCACCTGAACAACAGGAATTCTGAAGGGGACAGCAAGGGACATGCCAAGCCGGAGGTTCCAACCCGGCGATTTACCCCGGCAGAGATTTAGAAGAGAAAAGAGCAAGGGCTATGCTTCCATTGCGACGAGCGCTACACCTTCAATCATGTGTGCAAATGGCTATTTTTGATTGAGATAGAGGAAGAGGGTCCGCGAAAGACCAGGGACGAAGAAGACTCAGA